CCAAAGACCCCAGCCTGCTAGAAGTTTCTGGAATCCACTGCTCCCAGTTCCCATGGAACTTCGCCCTCTGGGACGCAGCTGGCAGCCAGGCCCGCATCGCCCTGCATGCCCATCTCCCTCCCCGCCAAGGGCCCCTGTCTGCAGTGTGAACGCAGGACACAGAGAGAGACGAATGAGGGACAAGGCGTAACGCCAGCTGCAGGCAGCCGAGCGGCCTCGCCAACCGCGTGCCCAGCGTCTTCTCCAACAGACCCCTTCCTGGCACCGCCCTCCCGGGGCTCCCTGGACACCTGACTTCACACGGTCCCGGAGGAGGGTCCCAAACATCCCTGAGGATGACGCCCCTACCTCTCCCTGCTCGTCCTCCCAGCCCGCCGCCCTCAGCTCTGTGGGTTCCCGGAGCAGGAGCCAGCAGCCCTGAGCCCGAGAGCCTGGGCCAGGGGGTGCAGTGAGCTGGACCCAGACACACCCACCCACACACACACAGCTGTGCAAATTGGGCAAGAGTCTCTGCCACCCACCCCGAGCCTCAGTTTCTCCAGAAAACATGAGAGGAAAAAAGGACCCATACCCCTGACGCTGCCTCCCCAGTGCACCCACCGCCAGCCCCCAGCCGGCCTCCCTTCCGTCCCTCTGCGTGTTCCTCACCGTGGAACCGTGTTGGGGGTCCCACTTGTGACGTGCTGCTTCCACCCAGGGTCGTGGCCTCTTCGTTCTCCAGGTGACCACAGTTTTTACTCATCTTTCAGGGGCTGCCGTTCCCTTATCAGCCCCCCGTAGGGTTCCTGACCTTCCACTGTGACGAGTCAGCTCAAAGGGGGAACTGAGACGGGCAGGGGTGCCGGGCTGGCTGCAGACCCCGGCACGGGCCTCACCTCCCTAAGCTTCCAGCCTCGTCCTGCTGCCAAACGCAGGCAGCTGCGCCAGCCGCCCCGAGCTGGGAGTGGCCGGTAGGACGCCGCGGGGCACCCAGGTGGCGCTGGCACAGGCATTGCCTGGCTGTGACCTGACCTATGCTCCTGACCACCTGGGGCCTCGGTTCTCCTGGAGGACCTGGGACCCCACCAGCACGGAGGCCTGAGTTCTAGGCCCACTAGGCGGCCCAGGAAAATCGCAGAATCTTGTAACAGCCCAGGGCCTTGGTTCCCCTCTCTGGAGCAGCCACTAAATGTCAGCACAAAACAAGACGATCTTGTACGGACCCAGAGAAACCGGGGCCCACGGTCAGTGCAGACCTCTCCCAGGAGGTGACGCTGCAGCAGAGACGCCAAGATCTGGGAGCAGAGGGAACAGTAAGGACGGAGGCTCTGAGGAAGGAATGAGCTTGGGGGGGTGAGGGGCCACCAGTATGGCTGGTGCCCAGTGAGCGGGAGAGGGTGAGGTCAGGGACGCAGGGAGCCCTGAGGGCCAGGCAAGGGCTTCAGGTTTCATTTTAGTGCCGTGGGAAGCCTCAGGGGCCTTAAGCAGGAGAGACACGCAAGAGGAAGGTGCAGGTGCGCCCCCGGCTGCATCTCCCCAGGTGCTCGCAGGCAGGAGAGGAGAGCTGTCCCCTGCGCCCCGTCCTCCTGTCTCCCTACTCCCTCCCCAGACGTTTTCGCCCTGAGCTGCTGGGCTCAAGAGCCCTGAGTGTTCCAGGGGAGGGTAGGCACCGGTGCATCCCCAGCTCCTGGGCGCCTGAGAGCTGTTTAGAACATGAAGAGGCACAGGCTGGAGGCTGTGGTGAGAAAGGGCCTCTGAAAATGGGCCTGGGCATTTGGGACACAGGTGCTCATCCTATCTGTCTCCTGTGCAAAGGACCAGGGGCACGGTGGGCCTCATACCATCCCAGTGAACCAGTGAGGTTCAGGCCAATCAAGGGATGACAAACGGGTTCACTCTGTGTGTTAGAAACAACTGCACTGGCTGCCCAGAGCACTGGAGGAGACTGATCCAAAGCGCCATAATCTGTGATCCATTACCAATGTCTGCTGTGGGCACAGGCAGGGAGAGTGGTGGTGTGAGTGTCACTGTTTAATCACCCCTCACCTAGCTTTGACCCGTGTGAGGTAGGGATGTGGAACGTGGCCATTCTAGAATGCAACAGTGAGGTGGGTGGTGAGCTGACCCAGGAGGGCCAGAGAAAGGCATTGGGTCAACTATTTCCAACCTTGAAGGCACCACCAAAATGCACCAAAGGACGTTTACTTGTCCACAGAACTTCCTGGCAGAGAAAAGACCTTTTTTTTTTTTCATAAGCTCTTTAGAGAGTTTTCCTACAGCAAGGACTGGGCGTCCCACAGCCCGGGGGCCCGGTTTTCTCATGGGAGCCTCGGCAACTGCTCTCTGTGGGCCAGCTTCTCTGGCCTCCCTGCTGTTTCTCAAACACGCCAAGTCTATTCCTATCACTGAGCCTCTGTCCTTGCTGTTCCCTGTGCCTGGAACACTCTCCTCCAGGCTGAGTCCTTGTTGTCCAGATCGTAGCTCAAATGTCAGCTTGATCAATGAATCAAAGCCACTCCACCTGTCTGCGCCTCAGTTTCCCCATCTATGTAACGAGGAGGGCACCCTCAATCTCAGGATCGCTCCCTGGGTTGTGCTGATGAAGAGATCAGTATTATTACTATTATTAATAACACCAACAGAGAGAGGATTCCCAGGCTCTGCTCCAAACGTTTTATATGAATTAGCTCATTTATTCTTCACAATATTCCTATAATTTGACTATTTTTACCCTCACTTTCCAGATGGGGAAACCGAGGCACCGAGAAGTCCAGTAAGTTGTCCCAGGTTGCTCAACCAGGATGTGGAAAGTGGGGATGCGAGCCCAGCACCCGGCCCCAGAGCCCCCCGGCCACCTTGCCTCCCACCTCTCCAGGAGAAGGCCCAGGGGCCTCGTCCAGGAAAGGGGACCCTCCTCCGGGTGACTGTGAGGACGGAATGAACGGGGCCCCGTCTGAGTGGCCTGGCCCACAGCGGCCGGAAGCGTCTCCATCTCTCCAGGACAGACCCCCCCGCCCTCTGCCTGCCCTCTCCGAGCCTCATCAGCCTGGAGCTGAGACCCCCGACGACGCCAGGACGGCTCCCAGGTGACAGCAGCGCGTGTGAGGCACCTGGGCCGGGCCCTCTGGGTGCTGAGCCCCGCTCTGGCTGGGCCCTGGGGACGCAGCGATGGACAGGGCAGTGCCGGCCTCAGAGCCAGGGGTGCAGGCAGGGAGGGATGGAGACGTGTAACTGCTGCCCGGTGTGTCCCAGGCTGTGACAGTGACGGGGCCCTCACCCAACCTGGGGGCCTGGGGTTGGGGGCTCAGGGGAGGAGGCCAAGGGCGGGGGGGGGGGCAGCCAAGCAGAGTGGAGGAGGGGCGTTCCCAGTAGGGGGACCAGCCCGGGCCAAGGTCAGGAAGCCCCCGAGAGCAAGGTGAGTCCGGGACGGCAGGCAGAGGGAGACAGCAGTCAGGCTGGAGGGGTCAGCAGGGCCGGGCTGAGTGGGGCCTCAGAACCACGAAACCACAACAGGGCGTGGACTTCACCTGAGGTCCGGGGAGGGTTTAGGCAGAAGGCTGGCATCACCAGGTTTATGTTCGACAAAGATTCCTCTGGCTGGTGTGTAGGAAGGAGGGGGATTCTGTACAGATGGGGAATCCAGGAAGGCTTCACGGAGGAGGTGACTCAGGTGAGCTTTGGGAGAGTAGAGCTCAGACAGCCCAGGAAGGAAGGGTGGGGCGTTCCAGGAGGGAGAGCCTCCGGGATAAAGACCTAGAAGCAGGGATGTTTCTGGAACGCTCGCCTGGGGACGTGGAGAAGTGGAAACGAGGTTGGAGGCAGGTCAGGCCCACAGCTGGGTCCCAGGATGTGGGGGAGGAAGGGGGTAGTGGCTGCTCCCTCCACGTGCGTTCCCCCCCGCCCGGCGCAGCCAGCCCGTCAGCCGGTTCTGCCAGCTGGCTGCGTGTCCAGCCAGGGGTCAGCAGAGCCGGGCAGGGCACCCTCGCAGCCTGGCCCAGGGACACGGAGGCACAGGGAGTGGCCCCCAGAGGAGCCGGGCCCTGCCCACCGCAGCCTGGCTGTGTGACAGAGGGCATGTCGCTAGGCCTCAGCACCCCAGCTGAGCAGCGGGCGGAAGACCACTGGCAACAGCCGTCGTCTCTTGGGCACTGCGCCCCGACCTTTCCGGGGGATGTGTCCCCAGTGCGTCATCACTCCTGTCACACAGGTGGGGAAAGTGAGGCTCAGAGGGGTTGGACCACTTGAGGTCACTCGTATAGGACAGACGGCCAGGACTGTAAAGCCCATTTCTAAACCACCAAACCTCACTGAGGTCTCCAAGCTCCCCTCCGCACTCCCCCAACCCAACTCGGGTTCGTCTTAAAATGAGGGCCCCTCCTGTCTGCTCCACATCCATGGGCAGCGACAGACAATACGCTGCTCTCCTCTCCCCAGCTCAGGGCAGACATCACTAATCCATTACAGACCTCATTAATCTCTCACTGCTATACTTTCCATTTGTTCCCTGACATACAGCCTCAGAATCCTTCTTAACACGGTACTCCAGGCAGCCACTAAGGATTGATCAGAGCTGCACCCATGAGGGAGCTTATTTTCCATCCCTGATCCAGTCTAATCCATCACGTTGTAGAAGGGGCGGCTGAACCCCAGAGAGAAGATGCTTTAGTGACGAAGCCAGGCCTGGGACCCAGTCTCCTGACTCTCTTCTGGTCCAAACCCCTCCCTCGGGTGAGCAGGACCTGGAGTGAACACTTCAGGGCTGGTGGTCCTTAGAGACGCCACATGAGGCAAGGCGTTGCCAGACCCCGCCCATCCCACCCCGGTTCGGTCGGATCTTCGTCACTCCCTCGTGAACAAGGGAATCAGAGCAAGGCGGCCCGGCCTGGTTTGCGGATGAGCCACTCTCAGAGGCCCCTCCATGTGCCCCTGTCCCGGGCAGCCGGACTGCTGTCCCCTCAGCACGAAGCCAACACCCCCCACCCCAACCCCCACCCACAGTTTAGGAAAAAGCAGCTACTCACCACTGCTGGACCTCCTTCTCGGTAACTGCAAGAGAAAATAGAAAAGCAGGCTTTTAGCTCCGGGAGGTGTCCTGGGGGCGGGGGCATGGACACTGGGGGACATCCTCCCACCCTCCCCACCCGGCCCACGGCCTGCCTGCCCACAGCGGGACACTGGCCGGCTCTGAACAAGACCACAGCCCCCAGGTGAACAGCCCCAGTCAGGAGCTGTGTGTCGGGCCACCCCAGCAGGGGACAGCCCTGGCCCATCCCCTCCCAAACCCACCGTGCTGCCGGGGGACCAAAAGAACAGCCTGTCAGGCGCAGGGGTGGACCTCTCCCCTGTCCTGGGGTGGGCAGACAGGACGGTCCCGCCCAGCCCAGCTTTCAGACACCCTCTCCCCATCGCTCAGCCCCGGGGAGAGTGGGCCGGGGAGGCACTGGTGCCAGGCCTGCAGCCGTCTGCGGGTACGTGGGGCCAGCAGACAGGCTGAGCCCCCTACTGGGCCCGTCCCTCCAGCCCCTCACAGGGAACAGTCCTGGGTCTTTCACAGGCGAGACAAGAGCGGGGCCGAGGACCAAAGGCTGGAACGAGCCGTGTAAAGTGGCTGAACCTCCCGCCGAGCCCAAATAGCCACTCTTTACTGAACCGTGAAACAAAAAATGTTTTTTCTGAAAAGTACTGAATCAGTTCAAGTCGAATCAAACAATGTTCTCTCCAAAATCACTGAACGGGAACATCACAGCACCGCCAAGGGCACATTCGCTCTCTGCAGGGGGCAGGGGGGGCGTGGGGGGCCTCAGGAGAGCACCTCCAGCTCCCCGTGCCTCAGTTTCCTCGTTTGTAAAGAGGAAATAATAGTAACAGTACCTGCCACGTGAGCCGTGCCAGGGACTCAATGGTAACAGGTGCGGAAGCTCCTGACCCCAGCTCGGAGCCGGCACTCAAACGTGCTCAATACAGGCTGTGGAATGAATGAATGAATGAACGAACAAATGAATGAACGAATGCACGAATGGACAGGAAGGCGGGTGCTAGGCGGAGGGCCACCGAGTTGCAGAACTGGAATCTCTTCCCAGGGAACTGGGAAGGGAGGCCCTGCATTGTCTGTGCCTCGTCAGACCTGGGAGGCCACCCCTCAAACACAGCTCAAAGCCCGCGGGCAGCCACGGCCCAGTCCCTCGAGCCCCCCGCGGGTCTGAGCCAGGGCGGGCCTCTGCGCTCTGGCTCAGCTACGCCGACAGCAGCTCTGAGGGAAGACAGCATTCCTCTGCCCTGGCTCCAAATGGGGAAAGTGAGGCACAAAGGGGCCAGGACATGAAGTGGCAGGGCGAGGGTCTGAACTCAGCCACGAGACCCACAGCCTGGAACGCGGTGGTCAGACTCCTGGAGCAGGCTGGAAGCTTCCGCCGCCTGGCCCTCCTCGTCAGCGCTCTCCTCCCACAAGCCCAAATGAGGGCCTGAGGAAGTGACCTGTCAACGAGAGGCCGCGGAGAGAGGTGCCGGTGACCCAGGACAGCCAGACCCAGGGGAAAAGAATGCAATTTTCCAAGAGAGTTCTGGTACAGGGTAGGGGGTGAGAGAGGAGTCAGGCAGGCCTAACCCAGGCTGGGCAGCCCTGGACCTGCCACTCAGGCTGGCGGTGCAGGGCCGGGAGCTCAGGGCGTGGACTCTGGAGCCAGACTGCACCAGCTGGGCTCAAATCCAGCTCCACAGTTTCCTAGCTGTGTGTCCTTGGGCAAAGTACTGCCCCTCTCTGAGCCTCAGTTTCCTCATCTGTAAAATGTGCTTGTTGTGAAGATTAAAGGGCTTGGTGCTCTCCACCTGCACAAGAATCCCATAGGCAGGTGTGATCCCGTTTTCCCAATGAGGAGACCGAGGTTCAGACAGGTCCGCTTATTTGCCTGAAGGCACCCGGGGTCACCCTGCCAGGATATGGCAGCTCTGGGACTGTGTCTCCAGAGCCCAGGATGGACAGCCCATTGGGTACCCTCTACCCACCTCGAGTCAGCCAATGAGCTTCATGACCTTGTGTGACCTTGGCATCACGTGACATAAACTGCAGGAGCTGGGTGGCAAGGGCTCATGGGCACATCCACTGCTGATCTCAAGCATGGCCTCACAGGGCCAGAGAGCCTCCCCAGAATCCCCCAGCTCAGAAGCCCCAACCCTCCCCCGGCCCCGGCCCAGCCCCAGCCTCCAGCCTGCCCCAGGCTCTCAGCCTCCAGCCTCCCCGGTACCCCCTCACCACCCCCCACCCCCGACGAGCCCCCAGGATGCAGGTGCCATGGGCGCTGGGCAGAGGGGACATAGTTGGCCGTCCCCTCCCCCATTAGAACGGTCCCCAACACAGAACACTGGGCAGCCAGGAGGCTAGGCAGCCAAGCCCCAGGGGATGTGAGCCAGGGTAGGGGAGAGAAGCCCTGCCCGATCCCATAAGCAGCTAATTAACCTTTAGGAAACAGACAAGGCCATCAGGCGTCCCCGGGCACCTTGCCAGGGCCAGTGGCTTGTCACTGCTTCTCTGCCTGGAGCCTTGGAGGGTCTTGGAGGGGGAGTGGGCAGCAGGCAGCCCTCTGGGAGCCTGGCCACCTGCCCCGAGCCCCTCGATAAGGGTCAGGCAGATCTGTGCTACCACCCCAGCCTGGACGTGACCGGTGTGAGCCTCTGTGTAGGGGAGGAAGCTGAGCGGGGGAGGCGGCCTGAGGAAGGGGCCTGGGGCCACAGCCGGAAGAGGAACAGCAGGATCTGTGCTCGACACAGGGACCCGCGGACTCACCGCTCCACCTGGGTTTCCAGAAGCTCAGCCATGCCCACACCACCTTGGCAATTCTCCCCATCCACCTGCCGATGACCCCTCGGGGTGTTTCTCTAAACCGGCTCACCCTTTTCACCTTCTTGCCTAATCTCGTTTCAGTCTAAGCAGTAATACCCACACAATGACCAGCGACGTGGGCCAGTCGCATCTTTTCTAATACACAATAAAAAGATAACTATTAAAAGATGAGTGTTCTTGATCAAACCTGGCCTCCCCAGTCGGGAGACACCCCGACCTCACGCGTCCCGTGACGTGAGGCGGCCAAAGGACACGGCACCTGCGGAGTTCTCCTGCCAAAAACCTTTGCCCTGAGTCTAATCACGAGGACATAATCAGACATACACAGCGGTGGGACATTCTACAAAACAAGTGGCCAGGACATGTCAACAAGTCCGCACCATGAAAGGTAAAACAAGGAAGGGATTGTTCTGGAAAAAGACTAAAGAGACAAGGCCACCCAATGCGATTCGTGACACCTGGATTGGGTCCTGGATCAGAGTTAAACACCGGCGATAAAGTACATTGACGGACTCACTGCTGATTTTCTTAGGAGTGCTAACAATGAAAGGTCACGTGGGAGAAGGTCCTTTCTCCTTGGAGCTGTATCAGGGGTGAGGGTCAGAAATACGCACAGATACTTGGGAAGAGAGAAAGGAAACGTGGGAGATGCTGACTGCGGGTGGATCTGGGGGGAGGCCACACAGCTGCTCCCGCGCTCTTATCTCAATGCTTCCCTCGATTTTTCAAAATGAAAAGTGGGGAGGACACGTCTGTCCTCATCAGCCCATTCTGTGTGCTGTCCCCGCACAGCGCCAGAAGGGCCTGGGGTCCTGCCCCCAGCAGCTCCGACCCCCTCACGCAATGGGAGGGAGGCAGGGGATGGGGACAATTCTGGGGTCCCTCTGCCTCCGCCCAGACCTCAGAGTGACGGTCCCAGGCTCAGGCTCCCAGGCTCAGCACCATCCCCGCTTCTCCTGGGCCACCATCCAAGCGTGAAATTAACAGGCGTCCACCCACACCGCCCTTGCACTTGGCGGATCCCTGCTCAGGGCTCAGGGCTCAGAGCCCAGGAGGAAGGCAGGCCGTGCTCAGTGCCTCCAGCCCCAGGCCCCTGCCCACCCCCAACACCCCCACCCCTTGTGACCCCCCCCTTAAGCTCCTCTCACCAGTTCTGCCTCCAGGCCTTTGTACCTGCCGTTCCCTCCGCCCAGAACACTCCCCCTCACCTTTCAGCCTGGCGACCCCTACACACCTTTCCAATCCCAGCTGGGATGCCCCGTTTCTCGGAAGCCCTCCTGACCCTGCCACAGCCCCCTCCGAAGCCCCCTCACGCGGGAATCACCGCTCTACAAGGAGTCTGTCTTTCCATCAGCTTCACAACGGAGGGTCAGGCGGGGAGGGGGCGGTGGCAAAGGAGAGTGGTCCGCAGAAAGGGCTCCGCGGTCAGCCCAGCCAGGGCTCTGGCGGAGGCTCTGGTTGCGTGGGCTTGAGCAAAGAGCCCCATGCCTCCGAGCCTCGGTCTGCTCATTGGCAGAACGGGACAAACAGCCTCTGTCGTACAGCAGGGGGATGCAGTGAAAGAGCTCGGACGATGTCTGGTACCCAGCAAGCACTCAAGGTCATGTGGGAGGAGCATTTTTTTCCTCTTATCTTCCCAGCTGGACCCTCGGCCCCCAGAGGCCGAGGGACATCTCCTGGCCTGTCCTAGCCTCACCCGCGGAGCCCGGCCCGGCGTCCTGCGCACGGGAAGCCGAGAACAAACCCTTGCTGATGCCCCCATCGTCACAGTGCCACTTGGCTCCGTTTGGAACACATCCTGAAACACGGTTCTCACAACACCTTTACCTTCACAGGTACGACCAGCTCTGGCCAATTTTAAAAAGGAGCTCCATCCTCCAGCACACTCCCGCCTCCAGGCCAGGGGGCCCAGGCTCATCTGGAGACCAGTGTTTAAAACCACAGGGCCGAAACGGTGGGAGGCTCGAGGTCAGCATCCTATCTTGGCCACTTGTAGACTGGGTTATTTCCAACAAGTTACTTAACCTCTCTGAGCCTCAGAGTCCTCATCTGAAGGATGGGGTATAAACTCCTACCAGGCAGAGTCATCAGGAGGGGTTCTTGAGGTGGGTAGGAAATTCCCAGCTTAGAGCGGGCACAGAGCCACGAGGAGAGAGAGGGGCTGGGCGTCCACTCTACTCCTCTCCCACTGACCCCCCTGAGAGCCGGG